TAGTTGTAGTTTCTAACGATATTTACATTTCGGAGTCGCGGCTAGAGAACGTATACGCTATATGCAGAGATCCATTTTTTACAGTTTTCCAGACCGGTATGGTGGGTTACCCGGAGTCGCTCACAGACCCATCCTACCACGCTCAAATTTTAGTGCTAACATATCCACTAATCGGAAATTATGGAATATTCGGTGACGAAGTGGACGAACATCATATACCATAGTAAGATTTGATGAGTATTCAGTTATGCTAGTTAAGGATGTATTGGCTATAAGTCAATCCCAAAAGTTTATGTACCTTAGAAAAACGCATTTCCTATAATTAAAAAGAAATCAGACGTCGGAAGAATAATGCTAATAATAAATAGCTACGTGCTAAAAAGTATAGAAGGAAATATCCAATTAAGTATTGACGCTGACGAAAAGTTTTTTTCTCAAAATTACGAAAAATGCTTCAAATAAAAGTTGTTTTCCTTCTAACTTCGATATTTAACGAGTTACGTATGATTATTTGGCATTTTATTGATGTTGACAAAATCCGACCATCCCACCGTCGAAACGGTGAACTTTTGGAAAAAAAATTCGTTTTTCCTCAATAACTCCTAAACCCTTGGAGATACGGGAAAAATGCATAGGACCTTTTTTGTAGAGGACGACGAGATCTACAATTTCCGTGTAAAAATTTTTCGCTAGCATCAATAGTTAACGAGTAATTTACAAAAAACTGTTTTATCGTTTTTCGTCCATAACTCTTTAAATATTAATGCTAGCGAAAAACTTTTACACAGAAATTGTAGATCTCGTCGTCCTCTACAAAAAAGGTCCTATGCATTTTTCCCGTATCTCCAAGGGTTTAGGAGTTATTGAGGAAAAACGAATTTTTTTTCCAAAAGTTCACCGTTTCGACGGTGGGATGGTCGGATTTTGTCAACATCAATAAAATGCCAAATAATCATACGTAACTCGTTAAATATCGAAGTTAGAAGGAAAACAACTTTTATTTGAAGCATTTTTCGTAATTTTGAGAAAAAAACTTTTCGTCAGCGTCAATACTTAATTGGATATTTCCTTCTATACTTTTTAGCACGTAGCTATTTATTATTAGCATTATTCTTCCGACGTCTGATTTCTTTTTAATTATAGGAAATGCGTTTTTCTAAGGTACATAAACTTTTGGGATTGACTTATAGCCAATACATCCTTAACTAGCATAACTGAATACTCATCAAATCTTACTATGGTATATGATGTTCGTCCACTTCGTCACCGAATATTCCATAATTTCCGATTAGTGGATATGTTAGCACTAAAATTTGAGCGTGGTAGGATGGGTCTGTGAGCGACTCCGGGTAACCCACCATACCGGTCTGGAAAACTGTAAAAAATGGATCTCTGCATATAGCGTATACGTTCTCTAGCCGCGACTCCGAAATGTAAATATCGTTAGAAACTACAACTACATATGCGACATGAAACCGGTCGAGTTCTCTTCCGCATATAAATGATTTCTAACAGATATCATCAGTTATTATGTATGTAACTATATAGTGTGTGTGACATGTAACATATGTATTTAATATAGATAGGTGATGATTTTAAAATAAGCTTAAACTGCAATTTATTTCTTGATACCATAGTTAGTTTATAAATAAATCATTTGATTATCGCACCTTGGTGTAAACAAATAACAATTTTTTACTATTAAAATTCAGATTTATTTCCGTCCATTACATGCAACTGAATGGTTTACAGTCTATAATAATAGAGATATAACTAACAGAGTACCGGACATCAAACCAAGCCCGAGGAAGTGCATGTGTGTACGCATGTAATTTGACTAATTTCTTGAACACAAATTACATATTCGGCAGAGAAGTCATTTTATTAGACTAGCTCTTGAATGAACATGCTTAATTTCCCTGAACGATGTAATTCTCTAATCACTTTTATTTATCAGTATTCTTCACATGCAAATAAAAATTAAATATTTAAATGCAAACGTCCGCAAACAATTTTTATTCTCGATTCCCACGAAAAGATTTTCAATGCACAAATTTTGTCTCGCGTTAATTTATTTCTTCGCATGAAATTATCTTATTTACGAATGTAACGAGTGGCACGTGAACGTTATCAGCTTAATCATTGAATTGGAGTTTCTCTCGCCGGTAGAACACTCTTTTAAATCTTAGCGTCACAATCAAAATAAGAAGAACTGTCAACGTTAACGTATTAAATAATTTTCTGTTGAAAGCGCATTAATATGAGAACCTGTAAGAGACGATGACCGAACATGGCAGGATAGTACTAATAAACGTTAAACACGTGATAGTCCCACGCGACTTGATTACGAGTTATTAAAATAATCTCGTACGTGTGGATATTCGCTTCCCGCTCACAGTCAGTGCGTCTAAGAATCATTACGGGTAGTCAAATGAAACGGAACGAGGTACATGTTCCGATCTAATTTAAGTCGAATGTAAAACGAAGAGAAGCGTTGTGAATCCGTACACGTGCCTTACCTGCAACGCAATGGTAGAGCACGTGTTCGCACACTCACCTATTTCACCGTCGACCGGTTTAATCGCGCCGAAGCGCTTACCCGGGAAGACCGAACCATCGTCCAGTAAAAGAAAGGCGGTTTTTAACTCTGAACCGTGATCAATCGCGCGGTCGTGCATTTTGTCAATAATTCTCTGACTACTCCTAGCGTGTCCTGAACCCGGCGAACACTGCTCACATATTGCGTCGAGGGCACGCTTTATACATCAAGGGTCAAGCGCACACATCGGTACGGGCTCCCACTGGCTCCCAGTGCTCCCACGACGCCTCGCACAAGCAGCGCCACGGAAGTCTCGGCCTCGTCTCCAGCCGATAGACGTTCTCGTGCGTACGGATCGCCTGCGCATATCACGTGGCCAATTGCTCGATTGGATAATTGGAATCCAGCTATTAGATCGCACGCCATTTTATAGTTGCGCGGATTTGAATTTAAAATTTTCGCGCAAACGCGGTTCCTTGGTCTCTTTATGTTTCCGTACTAACAATAAGCGATCTCGTATAACTCTTTTGATAAACGACTTTGTCCTCGTAGTGCTTATCTTTAACGAGCGTTATCGCTTGGTGGTTAATCGCCAACGGAATTCAGAGGAGTAAAAGGGGAGTGCATGGTGAACAGATTTGAATGAAATTCCGATGCAGTATTTTAAACAAATCGTATTCAAATAATTTCATAACACGACAGAAAGATAATAACGCGTATGAATTGACAATGAGTCGGTATTATGTCATGCGGCAATTCGATGGTGTACCCAAGAATCGTTCGATGAATCTTTTTCATATAATAGACGATCGCCTATCAAGTGATCCCTCGCGAAGTAAAATTCCATCATTGTAGGCAGCAGCTTGTATCCAACGCTGAAGTACCATTTCATTAAGTTTTCCTTATCAAATACAGGTATTATAGGACTTACAAGTGATCCGGCATTGGCAAGTCATTCTCATTTCTACGAACTGAGTCTAATATATCATCGTGACGCTGTTTATGCTTTTCCCAGTCCACTTCGCGCCCCTGATTACACAAATGCGACCGAATTTTGCAAAATAATGGTTCCCTGTCGTACAAGTGCTGATATTGTTCCTTCTCTAATTTTTTCATGATACCTTCAACCCTCACCTGCCGACATCGCTACGCTTTTACTACTGAACGCATCGGTGAATTTTGTTTCACTTACGTACCTGCTTCGCTATCCTCTGCTGCTGGTCGTTTATATAAAACCAAACAAAACACATGGCAGCGTAGGGAACGTTTTCCTGCAGTAACGCAAATAATTGGTAGGACATAATCGCTAAGGCCGTAGTTGCACGTGCATCGAAAATACTATCATTATTTTTTGGCTAGAAAAGTCAGGCTTTCCTTGTACAAGCGTTGATGCTCGTGCAACTTGACGTCATTATTGTGAAGCTGACATAATACTCTCGGCAAGGGGTCTCGTCGAGGTCTTCGGGTGGGAAATCGATAAGGCAACGCGAGACTCATTTCCTACACTCCCGCCTCATTTTCTTTGCAGCTAAATTTAATTAAAATGGATAATCTTGAAATCGCGTACGACTGCGAATGTTACGTACTTAATAGTTCATTTGTTCTCATTATGGAATACTCTAGCCGAAAATGTCGAGTTCGAACCGAGACGAGGAAGGCCGAGGCAAGCCAAGCGTATCTATTGTATTCTTGTGCTCGCCTGCTATCGAGTGTCGAATGACCCTCATCGAAAATACTGTCGCATTTAAATCATTTACATACTATGTCATCGATTTTTCTGCTACGACTGTCCGTTACGAGTACAAAACCATCGTTATCGAACTCGCGAAGGATGACGTTTCTTGCGGACACTTTACACTCCCTAAAAATGAATTGTGTTGGTTTGAAAATTGCACGTGATGCAATCGATTGGTAGGCAGTACCGACTTTGATGTAGTTGCCAAGCAACAGGCATCCGGCGTGTTTGGGCTGTATCTCCGTGTCTCCTCGCGCCAGATTTTAAATAGCTCGATTGGATGATCGATCTCCTCTTCGATTTTCGCCACGTCCGAAAGCTCTAATGTTCCTTTCGATCCCTTAGCAGACGACGATCCCCAAAAGAGCAGCTTATTAATAAAGTATCTTTGTGTTGCACGCATTAGCTGAAGCACCAACGAGTACCAAGTATTTAATCGTTATAAAAAAAACAGAAATAAATAAACGAGAAGTGTTGCGGAGGTCTGTAGAAAAATGAAATTCATCAGTGCACGTCGTTCCCTCGAGTCTTCCTACTGATGCGTTAAAGATTTGGTTTCAACTTATACTTTTCCCGAAGATGAAAGTGTCAAATTGCACCGCGACTCGTATGGCATGCACTGATTTGAAATGTGACACTCTTTAAAATCCTGTGACCGGTCAACTGTTTTATACTTGCGTTATTTTATTTATAATCGTACAAGAGAGTAGCAAGTTGGTGGGATCAATTAAAAACAGCACTGTTGTTCTCTTACCATGCTCTTGACTTTACCGAGCCGGTGGGGTCCAATCTGACAAGATTTCGTCGACCGTCGTAACAACGCGACGTCTCTAGCGCGAATGTTCAGCATTGATTAAGTAAGTAACTCTACTCGTGGCCTCCCACCATTTCTAACAGACTCTGCGCACTGCTTCCTTCGCAACACCACGAAAGATGGATATGTAACACACAGTGCCAACTATACCTTCACCGTTCTACGACAAATTTGAACTGATGCAAACTTACATAATAATCACCGTCGGATAGAAAATATGTTTGTCGCATTTCGCAAGAATTAATCAATCTGATGTAAAATTACTGGTTATTTTTTAGTCTAGGGTACTTATATGTATATTTTAATAAAAGAATTCTCTTTACAAGACCGTAACACATACAGTGATACAAAATAACGGATCATCTACAAAATACAACTTTACAATCGGTTTGCACGGTTCGACACGGACAAATCACGGTTACTTGTATGCAGTGATAACGTGATATAATTAATGCGTTAATTTACAATGTCACGTTTGTGCAGTTTACAGCCCGTTCAAGTTAACAATTAAACTAGTCTTAGCGTTTCAAAACTGTTTAACGAGGCGAAAAACAATTCCATACCGCGCATACAATTTCAGTCCTTGTCAGTTCTCGTTGATTAATTAAATAATACTTTATGTGTAAGAATCTATTCGATTGTGGACTTTATCCAGGCGATATTCGAGGAAACTTTGTCGTACAATCGAGGCCTTTCGACGCCTGTTTTCGAACAGGCTATTCGCCAACTGCTGACACCGGTTAGCGCCCATCTACGACCATCTGACTGAAGGCATAACATAGGACTGCCAGCAACTTCTTCTTCCTATAGGTTCACAGATAGAACAGTTTTTCATAGCAAAGATAGAGAAATAATGTTAACGCCAGCAGTATACTCTCGCCTTACCTGGACGAGAATGTACTACTGGCATAACATGTATTGTGATACATTCTACTTACATTGCAATCATCAGTAGAATAGGCCGGTTCCGTGCAGACACTGTTCACCGACGCGATGCTAATGTTTTCGCACCGTTCCATTGCACTGTGCCTAAGTTGCACCCTCTGTAGTAAATCTCCTGATAAACAATATAACATTTTTATGATGTAAGATAATTAGTATAGAGTCGTGATCTATTGAACTCTTGGTAAATACAACAGATTTCTATAATTCATCAGTGATTAATGAAAAATGTATGAAGGACTAAAACACTCTTCTAAACAGGTTACTTATGCAACTGTGCTCAGTACATGAAAACTTTTATCGTTAAACACATCTATCAATGTCTATTACACAATAACAAAGAACTGGCTCGTTGTATTCAGAAAATCGGTGACCCGCGGTGCAACGCGGTGTAGTATGCGCTTCTAACGGTTTCAAGGATGTTCGACCCGAGTTTAGATGGAAGAAGTTGTTTTCACTGATATTGTATAAGCATCCCTCTAAGGTTGATTCAAAGATGGCTGAGACGATACGAAGAATTATGCATCTTTATGTAACGCATCGAAGGAGTAAAGTGACAGAACCTACGTATTCGATGTTTAATTACGAGGATCGCTTACGAGATGTGTTCATCGATATTATAATACTTACGGTTTCTGGCCCATCCGAGGGTGTTGCAATGGGACACGTTCATCGGTGGGTCTTGACTCGAGGGTAGACAAACAGGCCTCACGAAATCAGAGAACGTGGTCACCGGTCGATCCAGTTTTAAAAGAACTGTAGTGCTTCCTTCTACCGGTGATTTAATCATACCTACGATTCTACGTTCCTGTTGCCACGGAGAAGTACTCGATAAACGGATCGTGCCCATTCTCGCGGACCATTCCGCTTTTGGTTGACTGAAATTTAATTATTGCACAAGCAGGCGGTTTCAATATCTCATGGAATCACACAGCTTATTCGTGTTTCATATACTTTTGTAAAATATTAAAACAAGTCATTGTTGATATCTTCTATATAAGATTATGTTATTTATTCTTGAGTTTTACGTCTTTATGTTTATTATTCGTGCGAAATGTACGTGTAAATCAGTATTGATACGAGAATTCTAAGCCTAACTGCACAAGATAAATATTTGAAATTTCTTTGACTTACCCCTGGAAACAAGACGATGTTGTAATCAACCAGTTCTCCGCCACGAGCGTAGCATCGCATACGTGCACTTCTTCTTTGAAGAGTGCCACGTGCCAAGGCCAATCTCCTGGTTCAGCCATTTTATTCAAGCCTCGGGTACCACTCTTTGGATGTAAAGACTGCACGCCGCATTCTTAACACAATGTATTAAATTAGAGCGATTTCTTCCAAAACTTCCTTGCTCGGACAGGGCGCTCTGACGAACGTAATCTCCGTAGCTGACGGATCCTCCATGTGTACGTATTGAACATCCTCCTCGTCGTCGACTCGAACTTCGACAGATTTTACACCGCTGAAATATTATCATTATTTTCTAAAAGTGTCTAGGTACTCGGTTGCTACCTGACCCGAGGATCGAGTACCTGAAATTTCAGGTTCCCACGCCTCGTTATTATGTATATTTTTCTTCAATGGCAAGGAATATAATCCTGAATATTTATAGAAAAGCTTGATCAAATAAAAATAGAAAAAACCCATATAAAATATAAACCCCATAACTTCGATTACTATTTAATTCTTTATATCATAGAACAAATGAAAAGTAGCGGTCTTCAACGTAACTGAAGAAATAGAATAAAATTCACATCTGTTGCGAGAAACGAACATAATATACTTACGTGTATGTCAACAGAGTGCACAAAGAATTCGCGGCAGTCTGGAGAACAGTTTCCATTTCCGTTCCCGGTAATGTCGCGTTTAGGTTCGCGGTGCATAGTTTCCCGATGGTACCCTTTTCATTGAACACCACGAATCCTTCGCTATTGTACTTTAAAGCGAATGGGGTGTCCATAGGCTGCGACTTCGCGGACCGAATGTTTAGTGCTAAAGATACTGAAGAACGAGGAGTATTAAATACAAGAAGAGTGTTAGATAGAAGAAAAATAATGTCACCTTGAAAGATACGCACGGCAGTCCTTTTCGTCGCTTCCATTGGCACAGTCGACCTTCCCGTCGCATCTCTTACTCCGCGGAATGCAAGTTCTGCCCACACCGCAGTGCATGTACCCGTCGTAACAATAAGCGCAATTCTTCTCGTCCGAAAGGTCAGGGCAGTCGATCACGCCGTCGCAAATTCTCGGCGACAATGCTTTCGCCTGGAGCGCTTGCACGCATCCTACGATAACGTTCGCCCGATAATTGTAATGGGATTTCATCGTTAGTTCCGCGTTGCAATATTGGCAAAAGGTTACGATCGTTCACCTGGTTTCGCTCGGCAACCGCCCTGGTCCGCATACTCCGGGAAGTTCGAGCAGTCCAACAACTTTTTGATTTTGTCTGGAAGTCGGCTCCCGCATCCGTTCCAGAATTCGCGGCAAAAACTTCGACACGGTAGTTGCAGCAAGTCTTCCGGCTGATTCGGTATGCATGCCGGTTGCAACACTTGGCACACGAAGTCGTACGCCAATCGGTAACATTCCGCGTCGACTAGTTCCCTGTTTACGGAGAACGTAAAATATTTAACCGATTCTTGAAGAAAATATAAGTACATTATTTGTGAGCTCGAAGCATACTATGATTTAAAAAGAATTAATATTAATTTCCTAGCATCGTGAATGATTTAAAACATTTATCAAAGTATAAGCAACATAGGACTTAATGTACTTTAGATGCACTTTCGAGCGGCAGTGGTGTACACGTGCACACGTGGCGAAAGTATGCCGCGAGATCACGGTTCGATATGTACCTGAAAGCGATCACGTCCTCTTCGACGTCAGCCAACGAGCGGTGTCCTAATATATTCGGATAGGACGTGACATTATACGGAAGATGTCTGCAGTAAGACAAATCTATGCTGCTGCATCTTCTAGGGGGTGGCTGCGTGGTCGTCGTTGGTAGCGTCGAGACAGTCGTTTGTAAACTGACCTGAGCGTTCAGAGCTTGAAAGCTTTCCTGAACTTCAAGGCTTTGGGAATCGATCGTCAAATTCGTCAAATACTTGGTGGTTTCCGGATTGATCTCTCGAGTTAGAAGATCGACGACGTGGGCAGTGGTAATGGTCTGATACCGTGGATCGAATCGGATCTCAAAGTGTACCACTAAATCACCGCCTTCGGATCTGGAAATAAAAGTTCTCTTCGCTAATAGTCATTAGATTTTCTATTCTACCATGCTTATTTAGTTGTATCGTTTTGGCACAAACTTTCCGGATAATCTAACAGCTATACAGTCACGGTTAAAAGAGTACACGACGCGAAGTCACGAGAAAGCGGTTTAAAGATAAATCGTTCGAATGCTCTAGGGCTAAGGGATTTCTCCTGCTTGCAGAGAGATTATTTCCGAATAGTGAGTCATAGTCAACTCGGTGACAGCAGAACTTTCGACGATATCTTCCTCGAGGATTTTTCCATGAGAGTTTGGTCTCTATTTTTGTTGTCTTAATTCGTTCATTTTCAGTCACCAAATTTTTATATAAAATAATTTAGAGAATAGTTTTAAATATTCAGCTATATTTTGCTTTTATTCATTAATTATCGTATCTCAATGTTTTTAAAATTCCTAGTATATTATGTGCAGTGTTTAAATTTCATAATATTTTTATTTATTAAAAATGCATAGAAATCATTAATTTATCAGTCACTTACCCATCCAACGCTAATACTTCCGCAGCCAGAAAAGATATTCTTAGCCAGCTGCGGCGAAAAATGAGATTTAACCGATCGCGATACTCCCGCGATCGTATTCGAAAGGCTTCAGTAGATGGATCTGCTAGTTCCGATGTGAAAGAATCTCCTTCGGTCACACGGAATGTGGCCAAGAAAATTTGATCACCTGGCGGATCCGATGTTAGGAACGTGTCTAGAAAAAGAGCGATTAAACGCTATCGATTTAACAATTATCATAATGATAGTGTATTATTTTAATTCCATGATTTGCCTGATAGCAACATATTTTTTGAAGCACGTATCGTCTGCTTATTTAAAAATATTAATCATTCATTTGTATATCCAATCGAATTAAATTATTAATTCAAAAAATGCGTAATGCCACTGAGGAGAGATTGTACCTCTTCTCGGTGGTAATAGTATACTCAGAAGACTATATCCACAACTGTCGGTAGATCGATTCTATTTACCATAATTAGTAGTCGTCCTACAACTTGGGAAAGCGTAATTTCACTTAAGAGTAATCGATCGATTTCCATCGGCCATCAAAGTGATATTGTACGCATTGTTAGACGATGTGTACTTTCTAATACTTTGTGCAGAAAGGATTCGTTTGAAAGGATACGATAATGATTGCGCCGCAGGTAACGTTGTCTCTTACAACGAAAAACTGGCACCTATTTTTCGACATAGTTAATATTCGAAAAACCGTCACGGTACGAGCAAGAAGATTGAATTGAGGACAATCGAGCACATACAGGCTCCAGGCTCACCTTTCACCGGGCCTTTTCGTCGATCATTTTTACACCACAGAAACTTTTTTCTCGGTTCGTGATACGATTTCCTGCGGGCTGCGAGCGATCTTCTGCGGCTTGCGAACCGGCGAGTCGTTTTTACTGAGAAACAGCTTTCCAGTACGGGACTCGTTTTCCCTTTTACATACACGTGTTCTGTACAGTTACGTAGATGCGAAAGATAGCTAAAAATTCAATCGCGTTCCATGATACGCGTGATATCGCGGTTCTTCGAACTGGAATACTTTCGAAAGGAGAATTCGGACAGCGTGCTGAGGCATCGGAATGATTCAAGGCCACAGATCCCCCCTTTGAGGACGAATCCTGGAGGGGTGACGAGCAGGATAGCTCGACAACTCGGTCAGACCGTTAGCTTTACTACTTTCAAGGCCTCTTCTGGCTGGACCTCGACGCGAGCGTGCATCCTCATCGACCTTTACCTCTCTTTAGCTGCGAGGATTGAATTATTATGTTCGATCGCTTCGCCATGGCCGCGTGTACTCGCTTTCTTCTACCGTGAAACTTTAATCGTGACCCTTTCGAGTCGCGTCTTAAAACAGTCGCAAATTATACTTCCGATCGCGGTACATAGATACGTACACGCGTTTTCTCGGTAACTCGGTCGGACCGTTATGTTTGCGCACTGAAAGACCTCAATGGGCTTTGGCCGCATTATCCTCTTCTTCTTTGTTCGTTCCTCTTCGCGCGTACGAAACATCATGCTAACAGCCTTTCGTAACGAGATTATGCCACGTCGAAATACTATCTCTCTTATACTTCGTACAATACGCATTATAAACGCATCTTCTCCAAGCTCTTTGTATCTAATGTATACTATGAATCTCTAACTGCAAAATGCTCAGGTCTCTATGGACAGTCCAATAATAAGACTTACAATGGGAGATACTAATATGTTCTCTTTAGTAATAAAAGAACTTTTGTCAAAGTTTTAAACTTCCTTATTGTATAATATTATTTTTCTGGATATTAACTGTTATCTGCGTACAAACATCATCGTCCTATTTGCATCAATTAGACTCGGACGAAGGTTCTTCCTTGATGCGTGTCATCTATCGTTCATCGTACGATCGAGCGTGATTTCAAGGTGAAGTACACGCATTCATAATGGGGGAAACACGTTCTCGCGAACAAAGGGAAACGTCGATCAGAGTTTTCAAGTACCGTGAAGAACTCGCTCGTCTGGTAAAACGAACGGGTTGTGTTTCCATGTAAGCAATTTCATGTCTCGTCGGCCTCGGTTAACCGTAGAGCAATTTCATTTAGCGGATCGCTCGAATAGCGGAATAAAAGTTCGCAAGAGAAAGCGTACAAATAAAACGTCTCGCGTGTTTCGGATTCCTCGACCGAAGTACGTATCTCTACGCTCGACAAATCGGGAATGAGGATTATGAATTACCGCAGACGTTGGCTGGAAGGTGTCGGCGAGCAAAAGATCGGGAGTGAATGTTATACTTACAGCCGAGGTATATGGAAACCCCGGAAAAGAGGAGGAAGAGCAAGAACGCGGCTAACACGCAGCATCCGCACCGATACTGTCCGCCAAGCTTCCTCGTGAATCGAATGTCACTGTCTGATGACAGGATCGAACTAGGAGTACCAGCACGGCTGAATCTTCTAGTGCTTACCGTGCTTACTGATATCTGAAAGAAACATCCAATCGCCGCTCTATAATAGTAAGACTTATGAAAAATGAAAGAGATTGCGATAAGGAAGGTCGGTCAAAGTACAATAGTCTCATATCGAAACAGTCTATTGTGCTATTGAAAATTATATTGTTCTGAGTGTAGTGCATTTTAATCTTGTAATTCAATAACAATTTTATAGGTTCGAAACTATGAAAGTAAACGCTTATGTCTTTTTATCAATTGGGAGGTTCTACTATATCAGATTTCCTCGGTTAGGGAAACGTTGGGAATTCTTGGTGCCTCTCCTTTCTTTTACCCCTACATTTGCTTAGGTACGAAAGTGCAGGCATTATGTACCGAGGTTTCTCGACGAGGCACGACTCGCATTAACAATCTCCGTACTTCCGTCTTGCGGACAAACCGAAATGACAAAGTTTACCACCGACGTAATTATAGCATAGATTTTTTCATGTTAATTGCAATCCCTTGGTTTCATCTCCTTTTTATATGGCAATGCTCAGTGATATTTTTTCTTCAGAGTGTAAGAGCGCGTATACGAAGTGATCGACGCGGTTCTTAAAATTGCGTGTTACGTAACAAGTTTCACGCGCTCGATCAGGCGCCGCGGCGCGCCGTTCAAGTTGCGTGCGATTTCGCGCGTGCATTCAGCTCGCGACAGGACAGAGTACATATACAAGAGCTACATGGTAGATGGTGCATGGTGTGCCAACGTCGTTAAACGCGACGTTAGGTGCAACGAGCTTATCTTCTGTGACTTGCCCGCATTAGTGTGTAAGCGTCCGTGTAATCGTCTCGCCACCGATGCGCGTGCACATTCGTCACCGACACAAACGCGGTTCGCATGTAACCACCATGTGAATGCACGATGCGGCACAAAGAGGCCTACGCCCTCGTTCAAATGTTACGCTCGGCACACGATCCGGTACCGTAGAACCGGTGAATCGCACCTTTTCTCCTACCGATGTCAAGTTCCGATGCTCTTTTCGGTATTAATCATGCTAAAAGTCAATTTACCAAGAAAGTGCATTTAAATCACTAAGTAGTCTTAAAAGGTGCCGACCGTCGAAAAAGAAATTGTAATTGCTTGAATGGCAAACCGGTTTGTTTGAAATAATAAATTTTATTATGATGTTCTATATTAAAAAAACGTCTTATGTATCGCGCTGTTTGAATGCAACTGCACTATCGAAATATGCCAAAGGTTACGCGGCAAGTGTTGTAATTTTGATTGCGTAAAAACCTTTCTCCTTGCATATTTATTTGAAAGTACCAACTCGAATTTATCAGTGATACTAACCCAAGAAAATTACGAGGCACGCTTTCAAAGCTTCGATAAAAACGGATATATCTTTAGTGATTGAAAATAAAAGCAAATTGCAAGTTTACTCGCGCATTACGTAAGAAAGGCGCGATCGAGGCACAAGGGGTATCTTTGGTGAACAATGACTGCGTAGATACGTATTACGAAAGTCGAATGAAAGTTTGAGCACGAGATCTTTGTATTCTTCGAACCCAATTCGATAATGTAGCCTTCGACCAGCAGGGTTTTCGTAGGAAATAAAACACCGCTGTGCAATACTCGTTTTAATCGATCACGAGCAATCGAGAAGATATATAGCTAGAAAATTATAGAGGAGGACGTAGTAATAACTCCTAGTCGATCTTACGCAAGTTTGTAAAAAATGGTAATTTAATTCGACTATTATTCAACAAATGATATTCAAACAATCGCTCTTATTATCGCTTTTAAAATGGAATAAGCACTTATTATTGTTAAATGAAGTTTAATGTACGAGTTCACCTGTTGGTAAAAGTATTTCTTTCACTGAAGTTGCATCGCGGTGAAAAGGTCAGGAGAGCCTATCTTTTCTTACGAGAGGGACAGGGATTTCTGATGGAAGACAAATGGATGAGAAAATCGCAGAACATATTGCAAGATCGAACATTTCACGCCTTGCTGAGGATGGTCAACCGAGATGCGAACGCATCAGGTTGGAAAATAGAATTCAATGCCGGTGTAAGCGGTGGAAGATTTAAGATCTATCCTGAACTAGTTGAGACTAGAGAGAACGTTTCCGTTAATGGACACGGTCGATGACTTCAAATCGAAAACAAATCAAGAGCTGATGCTACCAATGCGCTTTCCATTCGTGTAGAGAGTTGAACAACTGGTCAACCGACAAAATAGATCGGTCGTTACTTGCCAATTTTCACTGACGAAAGACAAATGTATATTCGCATCATCTTCAAAGCGATCGATAAATACTTCAATTTCTACCATTTTTTGTAAGAAATGGGAATAGAAGTGAATTGAATATCCGTTTGTCGTGACAAGAAAATGGTGTCATCGACTCACAGAAAGAATCTACCGAGTTTCATTGGCTCGCCCGGTTCCTCCTGACTTTCTTGACCGTTATTACCGTTATTTCCAACGTCGGACTACCTTTCCAAAAGAGCAAGAATCTAGGAACGAGTTCTGCTTACTTTAAATCACCGGCACGCCGGTACTAGGAGCACGTGCGTGCATCTAATCAGAAGGGGACAATGTTAAACTGCAATCGTTATCGTTAATACTACGACGACTCTAATTTTTAAGGATTCTTTGAAATTCTGATCTCTCTTCAATTATTTCATAATTCTCTGTAATGAAATCTTCGAAAATTGAACTCCCGAGCACTTTATTCTGTTAGAACATGTATTCAACAAATTGAGTGATTCTCGGCTGTGATTCAATCTTACTTACTTCATTCGGAGGAATCGTGAGGTACGTGATAAATGTCATTCATATAATTCGCGCGGAATACTGATCGCGTGATTGGGTGCTACTAGCAAAGTAACGGTATATTCCGAGAAGAGAGCAGATGACGGCCCAACCCAGGGTAACCCAACCCAACTATCGCATCGCTTTTTCATTCCAACCAATCTGGTTCTCCATCGAGTGCGTATGTATTCGGTATCATATTCAGCATCATTCGGGGTCAGTGGAGAACAGGGTCGATGCGTTAGAAGAACATTATTTGCATGATATCTTCCAATTGCAATTAACCATTATTCAACGCATATTAGATCAATTTTTATGAAGAATTAAGTATCCATGTGAATAAACATTAGAGGGGTAGCTATCTTTTGAAATTTTAAGACTGCTACTAGGAAAGATTGAGATTTATTGAGAAAGGTATGTAAAAGTACGGGCCTATAATGCAGTCATTACTAAAGCTGCCGAGAGAAAGCTCAGACGATTAAAGTAGCACCTAATCGTCGACGGAATCAAGGGAAACCTAGATGCCATACACGCACCTAGTACTGACGATGGATATGGATATATTCTCATATCTTCTAGTGTCGCATTTTGTAATTAGGTTTTAGTAGAATATTTTAATTTTGTCAAAATATGTACTCAATGAATTGTAAAAAAAAACTATATAATGAAAAATTATAAATATAGCGCGCAGAATAAAAGCTCAATAGTCAGATAAAAAATGTCAGTTCATTTTCAGATTCATCTGGAAGTTAAAACGCTTTCGACATTAGATTCGATAAAGGTTCAACGTTCCTCTCAACGTTCGTGCCTCGCCGTTTCGCGTCAAAGGTGATTCGTCCGTTTGCGCAATTTATTGGCTTGCCGCAGTCCGCGCAAGTAATTCAGTTAATGACCGCGCTCAACCGCAAAACTAATTCATGCAGAATCAACTTGTAATTTCTTCTTTTCTTATTTCGAAGCGTACTAATGGTATTCCGAAAGTTTCTACCGGTGAAATAGTGTACCGCTATACTTTCGTTGAAGACAATGGCTATTTCAACCGACGTTCATCGTTTCTCATCGATTTTACGGTTTTCCTTTACGTCCGATTTCACACGGGGGCCAACCGGTTAATTAACCGCGAGAGTCTCGAGCGCGAGATGGTAACGAGGAAAGCGCATACACACGTCGCAGGGGGAAAGTGCGCCACATTCGTATCTCACCTTCGAATCCCACGAGCTCTTACGTTTGTGTTCCATCGCAACGGTCATCTTCGAGCCGTTGAAACGATTTCTTTCTGCTCCATCAACGGTCTCTCGGTATGTTCGCCGCGCGGAGAAACGTCATCGTGAAACTATATTTTGTTTCGCTCGGCTACTCTTTCTCGATCAGCATCGATCTGAACTTTTAATTTCTACACACTGCCAAATATTCAGGCCCTTAATCTTCCTCTCTGCACGAGGACCAACGGACTTTCACTGATAAGATTAGTTCCATGTACTTTCGGATTTCATTCGATTGTTCACCGTTCTGTTCACCAATTTACTATCGTTCAATTCTCTTCCAAAACCTGTGCAGAAAAACAGCCATTACAATGTAGTGAAGCGGCACACACTCTCACAACGAATCCTATCCATCGGAGTATTGTTATAGATTCAACGGTACCGATAACAATGGAAAAAAAATCGGTGTACGTGACACGAGGTAATGCGATATTTCGAAACCTGATTCAGACGGAGCACTTGACAGTACTGCATGTATGCCAGAATACTATCAGATTCTTCGAAACGCACGAAGACAAAACGTGACCTTCCCTTAAAAATGCTCAACCGGTTTTTCTCGAATAAGTTCAGGGCAACCCGCTTTTCTCTGCTATTTTCATTCAAATATTAAACGTTCCCTTCGACCAGTTTAGAATATCGGCATTCACGCGATTTACACATGCAATGCGTTCACTAGCGACAGGTGCGCGAGATTCGTCGCAGCTGCTACAGGGAGTTTAGACTCGATCTCTCGAGTAAAAGGAGGCAAAAACGAGGCGGCGAGTTTTGGCGTCCGATTAGGTAAACGATTTCTTCGAGCAGGTCGGAATAGATTACGAGTCAAGAGATTGTCCCGAACTAAGTCAGACTGCCATGCCACGAGAACGCAGGCCGCTTGCTAGATCGCTCCTTCGTTTCTGGATGCACTTTCACGTCATTACCGGTTCTCTACGCGAAGTGTCGCGACGCCACTCTAAACATTAGCATACTTCACTAAAAAACAGACCATATATTCAAATCTGTCTATTTCGAAATCTACTTGTCTACTCGTTATTATAATAATTATAGATGAAATTATGTTTCTCGCAGAACGATATGAATTTCGATTAGGTTCGATGGGAATTGAATATTTACTCCAATACTTATTTCAGTCTAGAACTTAACAAAATTATAATAATTATTTTGCTATTATTTTAATTGGCAATGAAAGAGTTTTGGCAATGCAAGAGTTTCAATAATTGAACTGATTTAATTTCGCTGCTATTTTATAGACTTTCATCCTACGTTAAATTAAACATGTGGAATATTTAAGACCGAGTGAGATGGTGAGTTACATTGAATTCCAAGTCAGATTCCAATGTGAAAGGTTGTAGAAAAAAGTATCCAACGAATCCGGAATATTTTTAGCTTAAACCTGTTTTCCAAGCATTTAACTGCAGCCAAAACTACTCGTTTCGGTTAACTGTTCAAGGGTAAACAAAATTAACAGCAGTCTAACTATCTTTCTTATTATCTAAGTAAGCAGTAGTCAATGAATTAAACTTTATATAATNCACCATTATGAAATAAATAAGAAAATTATTCAAACACTAAAAAGACACACAGATTAGGTGCAAAATCAAAGAATTAAAGAATGAAGAGGAAAAGAGTAGTCTTAAATAAATGAAATTATAAACTTACCTTCGCTTCTTCTGTTCCTGTAAATATTCTACTAGTTGGTCGTGTAATCCTCATATTAATTTAAATCACTGCACTATCCATTTTTACAAATCTGTCGCCCTATTCTCTCAACTCGATTCTACCCCTAATGAAGGCTGATACACGCGCGTAAATATTCACCAAGATTTACTGTCTCTTTTCACTTCGCTGTTATTCGATGACAGCTGTTCCTGTCCACCGGAAGCGTTTCCCTGCTCGACTGTCGGGAACGTTAAGTCGGCCTTTCACACTACGAAGTAACCGAGCTCTTCAAGGCGATCCTCTTTCTTTGTGTCACAGAAAAGAAATAACCGTTAACGTGGTAGCCGAACCTTTGGGGAGCGCGGTGTACACACGAATGTGCGCGGCTCGACAGTCTACCGCCGATTAATGACCTGGCGAACGTACACGCGCCCTTCTCCATAGCGGGGTCTCGCCTCTACGGTGTACCGCGCGTTTATTGCCTTTACCCTGATTGCTTACATTTTCATTCATTCGTTTTATTATTTTACAAGCTTTCTTTTCCTTACATCTGTAGTTTTCTTTTATTATACTTTTAAATCTGTCTAAATAGATTCATGTAAATATCACCTAGATATCATCACGATGCGATGTTGGAAACGTAGTTTCTTTCAATTTAATTAGAACGA